CTAAAACGCACGATATGGTTCATATTATACTCTCGGGTGAATTCGACTTCATCAATCCGGCTCTTAATTCCCAATAACCGATGTTAATTTGATGATCAGGGGCCATTGCGCATCCCGAGGAAAATCAGACGCACTCGCAACATTCGATCCAAAGACTGAGACTTTTATCATTACCTGTGGATCGACTAATTACTCGCATATCTCTAAAATGTACGCAGGTTCCAGAAATGAAGTTATTCGACCGTAAAATAAAAAAAGGTTAAATAACTGCACAAGTTGACGCGTTGTTATAAACAAAAGCATAAATTTAATTTGCACAATCATTGATACCTGATCCATTCAGATTCGGAGATGAATTGGAATCAATCAGATCGACATTCAAAAAGCATCTCATGTGATGATTTTATTTCTGTCAATCCGGTCACAATACCACCGAGGCCTTAAGTCTTTCGCTAACCCTAAATGGTCCTACAGTCTAAGTGATTAAGGGATTCACCCGTTCTGCACGAAGTGGTGTGTGGTAAAAAGTCACCAAAAATCATTATGGGATGTTCAGTTTAGAGTTTCAATCCCATGGTCAGCGAAACCCACTGTGTGGTAAGAAGGACTGGTATAAGAGAAACACTACAGAAGACCTACCTACATGCATTCGGCATGGCCTAAGTTAGGGGGCTGGGAGGGTAGTTGAACCAAGAAGTAGAGTGGCCGGGAGCCAGATTAAGCACAAGCTCATATAGGTTATTGTGCTGATATCAGTCACTTAGACCAATCGATAACTGGGGTTTGGCCCAACAATGATAATGAATAGGTCGAGACTAACTAAACACGGTCCCGGAGTAATTTGGCGAGTGAAATATAAAATCAAGTTATTCTAGTCATCGAAATTTCAATATTCACGCCCCAAGAATATGAATTCAATTCAGAATTCGCAGAAATATCCTCGCTACTGTTCGCCTCACCAAGAGAAAATGCACAAGAGTATGCAACTCACACTAAATGTCTTACGAAATCGCCTAAACGAAAGGAAGTCAATTGTTTTTCTTTTTTGTTCCTATTATGTTGTTTCAATCCCCGATGGCTTATAGCAAGGACCACGGTGACTCAAAGAGCTTGGCTACACAGCAGTCAAAATATGATTCACACGAAAGCGAAAGCAAAGACTCAATTTCGAAATTTCCGTCCAACGAATCCACCAGCTAGTTTTGTTGAACACAGCTTACACATACGAATTCATGCTAGGCAGCGGTACCGAATGAACGATTAGGAAAGAATGTCAACAAAGCTTGGTACATTCGTCAACTAATAGTTATTTCAAACGAAACTCCCGCAGAACATGGAATCGGCCAAACGTAATGTAGGGACTTTTGTTTATTCATTTTTGTAAGACCATACTGCACATTCAAGAGTTCAGTTACTAAGCTTGTTTCTCCAGTAATCCAACATTAAGCTGCTAAAGTCGAGTTACAAGACAAAAAAACAAAATTAATCACGAATTCGTCAAAATACTGTCCAGAATTACCCAACACGTTTTGTGTGGTTAAATAATATGGTAACGAGGACCGTGTACGATCCGGATGTGGAGAAACAAGCAGTGACTGAAAACTAATTATGTTAAGCTAGAAGAAAAAGCGAATATGTTTTCCTCGTCGTCACAAAAAGGCTGGTGAACATGTTTCCAATGAAACACTGAGAAAAACTCGTGTGAGGTTAGCAGATGGAGTCGTTAAATTTGTCATTGCCTAAAGAATACAGAGGACCGGCTCGGTGCAATGATGCCAAGAAATTTTTCTCCTCATTTTAGTACAAAAATGCGGGCAACCAGAGTGACATCGTCCAGGTTAGGGTAGGCGGGAGGGACGATCTTGGATTGTAGAACGGTATTCAGAGAACGAACAGCACACACACACAGAACCGGATGATGACACGACAAACGAATGCACCACTCACAAAGGTATGCGCGCACGTGAAAATTCCACTATTCGAAGCACACAAACAGGCAGTAAGCAAGGGTGCGTGCGAGAAAGAGAGCCATACACACCATATCTGGCCGACCGAAGAAAATCACTGCCACCAGCACCAACACAGTCATCCAACTGGAAACAGCGCACCGAGCTATGCCTAGGCGGCTTACAATACATCTGGGAGACACGTGTGCCCTGTGCGCTGCCTATATGTGCAAACACAAGCAATATGCGCTTAGTTCGCATGTGTATGCGAACCAGGCGCGTCTCGTTCATGGACGTACAAAGGAATGCGACAACTGGGCAAAGAGGAAGATACAGTGGATATTGGCAGGTATACGCAGCTGTTTGAGTGTGTGTGCACGCGCCAGCGTATGTGTATGTGTGAGTCAAGCGGACAGGCGATCAAGCGATGGCAAACGGAGAACAAATGAATACCAGTGACCGATCGTCAGTGCAAGTATGCACGCGTAAGCTTGCTATGGCCTGTTCATCCGTAAATCGAACAATACACGCTAGACCATCCCAGCGCCTAGTGGTGGTGATAGCAGTAGTGGTAGTAGTTGTAATAATAATAATAATAGTAGTAGTAGTAGTAGTAGTAGTAGTAGTAGTAGTAGTGGTAAGCGCAAACTGCAGCGATGGCATTTGTATAGGTATGCACGCGTGTCGCGGCGTATGCAGGTACAAAACAGAGGCACAAGCAAACACAGAGAAAGAGAGACGAACTTGCCATTTCTAGACAGGAGCCAAGCGGCTCGTGTGATAAAACGAAAGCCTGAGAGGGGGGAGGAGCAGGGGCTAAATCAATTGAATGGACACTGAGGTGGATGGAATGTTCCCTGTTATGAGTAAAACCCCGGTGGCAGCTAAATAGTTTATACCACAAGGCAAACTAGCGAGGGAAAAAACAGTTCGGGATTCCGGTGGAACGGAGGAAGGACAATAAATCTTGAATAGGGTGTATCAAATTGAGAGGAACAATACTGAAGTATGCGATTCGGCAGACCGGGATTTAATCGGTTCATAATCAACTGACCGGCGAAAGTCTGGTGATGACATGCTTTCGCAATGAACCCGCAACAGAGTGTACGAACGAACAATTTCGATTTGATGCAGTTCCGCATTGGAGAAACAGAAAATCCGATCCAATGGAGACTCTCCCTCTCTCTCTTTGTTTCACCGGATGGTTCAGCTGTGCAAAATGTTTCTCAATGTTTCAGCAGCAACAGCAGCAGCCGAAAATAATTGCAAATGATAAAGAAACGTTTAGAGACCAGTTGGACGAACAAGGGAACATAAAGTGTTCGAAACCTCAGAGTAGACCCTATTCGTCAACATGAACTCACAGTAATTAAAAGAAAACACGAAAGCTACTAGAGAACATTACACAGGGCAATTTAGGAATAAGATGAAACTATATTTGTTTCAAGTAGCGCCATTCGCCGCAATCTAACAAGTCTATTCCAAGATAACCACAGACTGACATCCCAATTTGGATTTGATCCAGTGTTTAGTCAAAACTGCAACGATGTGCAAATCCTAGGGGATAGATATGTCCCCTTCCCCTAAGCCTATTAACTCTGTTTACCTTGATTAAATAGTCTTAAACTCGATCCATCGCAAATGCTGTCTCAACCTGAAGGAAGTGTTCGACAAATTTATCCTTTTTCTTTTCTTCTTACTTTTTCATTGAATATATATATATCGATACAAACAATTTTCACGAAGAGGGGAAGCGGTCAATCAAAATTCTACTATATGCGTTAAAGATGGGGGAAAGTTGTGCGGTGGTGGTAGGATTCAAACACACGTCTTTCGCGGTGATAAGCTGTTGACCTTAACTGGTTGACCACCGCACCCTTTTGTGCTATTGGTGAACCATTTACAATTACCAGAAACCGAGTACGGGATTCATTACAATGAACGGTCACCGCTGAAATTGCCCTACTTTTCTTTTTAGGTTACAGCTACAGGGTCTATCCAGGCCAAAAATTGTACTCCATAGGATAGGAGGAAGCGAAACGAAAGTGAATATGTTGAAGAGAAAATTAAAATTACATAAACCGCACTGAAACAGTTAAGGCGATTTTGAACGTTGCTTCATAGCCACCTGGGAGGTTATCCGTGCATGGGAAACTCTGCAACCATGTTGGACGCTAAGGTAACGTTGTACACTCAAATGATCACTCCGTTACACCCACTGGAACTTCAACGAAATAACCATAAAAACAAATTAGAACGCACGTTTAGAAAACAATGTCTACAGTTAATTATACTGATACCCGGCATAACAGTACGTCTGTCCAACTAGGACCTAAGGGACGCCGGTATTCCGACTACAGAAAATGAAATTATATGCTGATTGTTGATGGTGTTCAAGCGGTTTAAGCTGCTGTCACTGGCATTCTCCAGGTTCACAGGTCTGAAGTTTGAAAAGCGCCAGTGTCACTCAACTTCAATAGTAGGCAGCTTTGTCGCTTCCGGATATGCCTATGATATCTAATTAGGGCTTAATGTTATTCGTCATTCAATGTTCTATGAAATAAAGTGTTGATCCATTTGAGTTATAATTTTTTCAGAATGGTTCGAGTGCTAGTTTTTCGCGCGTTCTCCACCTTAACAGTGCAAAATGTTGCAGGACTGGGTTGCTCCAGCCCAAGACTCACCCACCTCGCCTCGCGGACATATCTCGAGTGAAGTTTCGGTATGTATATATAAGGCTTGGTTAGATTTAGCCAATTTGAGACACCTCCGGTGCCGACGCAACATCCGGTTATCTGTGAAGGTTCCAGTATCTGCTGCAGTCGTTCGCCCGATATTGTTGTATCATGCAGTGACTTGACCGTTACAAGAACAGGATAAATATACATTAGCGGTGTTCGAACAATGCTGTCTATGCTGCAGTGTACGAGTTTGGTGGGGTAACCGGACAAACAATGCTGAGGTCAAATGTATCGTTTCAGGCCCATTGGAACAGTTGTTGCGCACGTCATCTTCTTTTATGACACACATCTTCGTGTAATGAACAGCAGACGAGGCGGATCCCATAGTCACTAAGACCTGCTGTTCAGTGACGGCAACCGGTAACCTAAGCCTCGGGACTTGGAGTGGCGAACCACATAAGGCCCCGCCAGGTCAGGCGTGATAGGCTCCCTCGACTTGTGATGCTTTCCGAGGCAAGCAGTAAATGTGAAAAAGTAAGGGGTGCTTAAATTAAGATCTGGCACGGGAGTATAAAAGCCCTAGTCAGAGGGATTGTACATAAAGGTTGTGCTATGTTTCCTAGTTGGAGGCCTCGGGATCAGCGTAATCAACAGCTAGAACTACTACATGATTTAGCTGAGTATCGCCCGTGCATTTATTCAAGTTCTTAGCAACCTCGGTCTGATTGAATTGTTTATCCTCACCTGGATACTGCTTCCAACCGTTTAATTTTTCTCTTTAATTCCTCATTCGAATGGACAACTAAAACCGCCGTGAGAATGTGCCGGTGTAGTGACATTATTTTCACTTTTCAACGCTATCCCCATGATTCATGTAAAGACCCTAATTGTTTCATTGCCCTCTGTTTCGAGATCGCATATGACCTCGAATATGGCACAATTTCCGGTGAGTTGTATTGTGCGCTTAGCTGTCTGTAAACCTTTCTGCTGCAGGTCACATCACACTACAAACGCTCGTATCCGACTTTGTTCTCTATCCGTTCTCTCCTTGGAAAACCTCGTAATACGCGCCATCGATAGAATTAGTGAACGCGTCGTTGCTCAGCCCGTCTTAGGTGCTAAACCGGGTTAACGGTAGTGTAGACTGTGATTGAAACTAGATTGCCGATTATCATTAGTGAAAAGTAGTCTCCAGTGGCTCTGTGAATATTCATTACACACTAGAGTATGACAAAAAGTGGCGGTGGTGGTAAGATTCATGTCCTCCAATATATAAACAGGTAGGGAAGAAGTTAAAGTGACGAACAACCATTCCATCAAATATTGCAAACATGATCGAAAGAGTCTGGAGGTACTTTTCTATTAAACCATCGTATAACAAGCCAAATCAACCAGAGCAGATAGAAGACAAACCAATATATTGATCACAGGTATAGAAGAAGACGTTATAATCACTTACCTCAGACTCCGTGAACTGTTCGAGGACGCGATTATTCCTATTCTTTGTGTGCTCCTCCGAACCCCGTCGTTCACACCAAGGAAACGGAGAGACGGAAGAACTGGGTACACCCGGATTAGGCAGACAAGATTCATCACCTTTGGTTGACCAATGCAAAGGAGGGCGAAAGTAAAGCACAAGTTGAGAGAAACAAATGAACAGATTTACGATATCCATTTACCGGTTTCCAATGAATGAGAAATAACAGTCAAAATGAACTGAATGATAATCTCGAAACCTTTTTCAGTTTAAGATGTCCGAATATCAATTTATGTCGTGTTACTATGTGAATAGTACCTTGCATAGTACAGAGTGAAAACGTTCGATGGGCCCCTTGTTTACCCAGATCCATGTACGTCCTACGTGCATACTGATCTAAAGCCCCCGAAAATTGCTCGTTTGCTTGGTCAAGTGAAAAATGTGGTCATCGTGTGAGAGACCCCACTAAACACTAAATTGCTCCCTTTTGCATTGTCCAGTCTGTGTGCAAACAAGATCATCGTCGGTGCACATTTTTGTTGAGCGTGGGACGATATTTTCGGGGGCCATAGAACAGTATGCAGGTAGGACATACATGCATCTGGGTAAACAGGGGGCCTATCGAACGCCTTCACTCTGTTCTGTGCAAGATGCTATCTACATAGCAACGTGACATCTTAAATTGACATTCGGACATCTTAACCTGAGAAAGATATAGTTACAGTCCCCAATCAAAAGGATATATTGAGTACGTAAGCATTGGGGTTTGATGGACGGGTATTGCTAGGGTGTCCAGACACTAAGCAGGAGAACGATTAGGGTTCTCGTCCAAAGCCTTTAATTCTGAAAAGAACCTAACCGCAAGGTAGTGGGGGAAGTGAAGTGTAGGCCCATTTACTTGAATCGATTACTCCTCCACCATTTTTCACTGACTATAACGCAAATTCCAGTCGAGCCCCCAACCTGGAGGACCGGGAGACTGGACTTCGTCTGACCTCTACCCATTGATCTTCCAGGCATGATAGAATTTCCTGGCTTGACATAAGCCATCCTGCGTAGCTCGTTGGGTCAGAGAGGTACACAAGCCATCACACCACGTGAAGGTGCAGTCTTGTTGTGTAGAGATGATGATGATTGTGTAAGTAAGAGTTAAAACTGTGGTAAAACAACAAGTGGGAAACAGTAAGGCGACTGGTCATTTTGAAAATTATGTATGGTGAAAGTCAATCAGTTACGCTCAATCTATTGAGCAGAGTATTCGATTCTATCCTGCAATTCATGTACAAGCTGTCCCCCGAACGCTGACTATTTCAGCAAAAATGAATCCAATTTGGGCTACCAAAGGGTAGCATGCATCATCATTGCGAACGATATCAGTTTGGTCTGTCATGGAGAAGACTAAAATAGTTGGATAGTTGAGTAACGTACTAAGCAAACATTATCAAACCAGTGATTCTCAATCAACAGAAAGCTCAGTATTTCTTAAATAAACACCCTCACTATGACTGATTCAGCACTATTCTCGAAATGACTCACATTTACAGCATCAAATAGAAAAGACTTACTTTCTGTTGTCTTATAGATCTTTCAGTGAGAGAGATAGAGATAAGGCCAATCCGCTTTGCTACATTTGCGATGACGAACCAACGACAGCTAGTTTAATCAAAGGAGTTGGTAAACGCTGAGTTTAAAACACTCATGATGAAGTGCAAGAACTCGCCTTGGCCATCGACACTATTGGGCGATATGGTGTATTGAGCAGCCTGAAGAGTGCATGATTCGACGGACCGGACACCAAGGTAGTAGAGTGTGAACTCGTTGACAACGGCTCAAGGTGAGGCACCTAAAGTCAATTTTCGAATATGGACTGGGCAATCGAGTAGTAAAGCAACCCTCATCACTGGTATTTCTGTGCAAAACACCATTTAGGATCTACGCCCTCTAGTCCACTTCTTTTAAACGGCAATCCACTTACACTGTACGCACTAGCATTTAAGTTTACTCCTGTTTTCAATTTAACCTGTATATCACAGGTCACCGGAGCTTGACAACACCCTACCTCGCTACCATTGGTAAAGAATCTGACTTGATTTCCCTGTAGTTTTACCATGACTTTCATCCGACCATCATACCAGGAAAGGCAATTTTGTCACTGAATATTTTTTTGATCAAGCGACATGTGATGTGCACATTAGTGCTTAACGGACAACCAGCAAAACTGGCACGGAAAACTGAATCGCAAATCGTCGAAATACTCTAAATTTAGAAGTGAGAACGTCAAACGGTTAACTGCATCGCCTCTCGTCATGTGAAGTTTGACGTGCAACATTCTGAGGACCCTGAAGTACCAGCATTTGAAGTGGGTGTCGGCGTTCCGCTAAACTCCACGGCCGAAGCTGTCCTGATAACCTGTGTTCATCGGCAGGCAGCAGTGTATATGGACATTAGAAAGCGCCACCGAAATAATGAGCGTCAAGTGGATGAGCACAACTTATTTGTGGCTCTTCCAAATTAGACAAATCCAAATATTCTCTTCACAATAAACTACGCATTCTTCTAAATAAAGCTATTGAACCAACACCCGTAATTCCATCTGGATGCATCAATGCTGGCGCACGCCGCATGACCTCCAACAAGATTCATCAAGACCATTTTAGCCTCGATTTTTGTCGTTCAGGTAAAGAAGATGGAGTCTTAGCGTGAACTTCAGAATTTCAAATCAGCGATAAACCAGCGAGCACACTCTTCTCTAGCTCAGCATTGGGCTCAAAGAAATCACGAATGGTTGGGGTGTGTTCAAAAATGTTGACTGTACTGGTCAAAATGAGCGGGCTCTAATCCTATACCAGATTGTACCATGGTGGAACGGCGCAACCACGGTTAAACGCTAGCAAACTGTCACAACCTAGTGCGCGTGCCGCAATGCCGCTGTCTGCGGGCTGACCAACCATGGTTGAGCATCTCTGGATACTGCAAATTTCGTTGCGTTAGTTAGACGCCGGCTGATCGACATTAATTGATGGCGAGAGCGACAAAAACACATTCGACTCCACACAAAGTGTGCCACTTAAGCGTGGAATACATGGCTGGAATGTGGTCGTAAGATTTTGGAACGTAGACGAAAAAATGGCCACCAAGATGATCAGGAGACTCATACGGAAAGATTGGAATCACTGGGATCGTAATTCACACACTATCGCATAACTCGAGGAGATTCGATTTTGGTGCCAAATAATGCAGAACCCTGATCACTAATGTCGTTTACTGTTCAAATAGTCGCCACTCACCCCAGGGGCACTCATGCAAATTAGGGCTCCAAAACTGTCACTCATCTGACTCGAGTTTGTAGTAGTTGGAATTCAATAACACCTCATATTATTTCTGGGCCCACAATTGATTCTTTCAGGCACAAACTGGATGAAACATTGTCAAGTCTTAAAATTCGACATCCGCAGCAGTTTTTAATATTTTTCATTACATATATTGTGTGTGCTAAACATAAGACAGGGTGGATCCAACAGTCGCGAAAACCTGATGCTTAGTAATGGAAATCGGCAATTTAAGTCCCGGAAATTGGGGTGGCAAACCACACAAGGTATGGTGTTTAATCGGGCGACAGCAAAGCTTCCTACCATCAAACGTGGGTTACGGTGGTGGGGCTTGAACCTTGGACGATCGGGTCCAAAGAACGCCGGTGACAGCGACCAAACCACTGCGTAGTACACGAAGCAATGAAAATAAGTGACATTACTCATCTCGCTTCGGTCGGTAAATCGATCCAGTTGTCGGAAAACCACTGTGGGACAAGGAAAGCAACCGCTTGTATTTTTCATAATAGAACTTTGAATTTGCTTTCATGTGAAGACTGCATTCGCTTTTAGTTAACGCAAGGACTATGAGATTCGGTGGACCGAATGGAAATCGAAGATGAAAAGCACATCTGTGTCGGGTCAAACGAGTTCTGCTATCTCATATGAATCACAGACAAAGAACATAACGTTGCCCGAGAAACAATGTATGAAGAAGACAGTTTACTCGATTATAACCAGCGAAAGTATCTTGAACGTCAGGCAGAAAACTTCGAAGCACTGTTTGACTGGTAAGCCCACTCAACTACTCAAATCAATTGAACTAACGCCCGCTGTTGTCGGATTCCAGATAAACACCACCATAAGGGGAATTTCGCCATCAGATTCACAAAGTGCAACGTTCTGGTGGTCTTCTTGCTGCGGCTCCCTTCAAGAATGGTGGAACTGAACTGTTGAGAGGAATGCAAAAGATATTCACTAAGATCTGGACTCTAGAGATAGAGGTCTCGTCGTACGAAGAATAAGTAGTTATCATCATCTTCAATAAAGCCAGTTCAGCGTCAATCCTAGCGAAATCTGCACCTCCCATATTAGTCCTGTTCTGTAAATTCGTCTGAACCGCGTGAAGAGAAAACTCGGAAGTGTGTTACCCTTCTCAAAGTGTGATCATTGATTCCCGCCGTAAGTTGTTCACAGTGAGACTCAACAGAACGTATTTATATCCCCCATTCTTTTTCCAATATTCTACAGAACAACGTTAAATAGAGCTCCTCTTGTGCAATTGAGTTGCGGATGTATGGAGTACGCTAAGGATATCGTCTTGGTCTGTGAAAATGTGAATGCAATTCGAATCGCGTACTGTACCGTTTGGAGATTGCAGTAACTCTATATGTGTGCTCTTTTTGTAATTCAATTGATTCTTAAAGAGTGGTGGTAATCCGCTGGCAATTATTCGGATGTTGTCCACAACTTTTTTTCACCAGAGGCGATAATCGGTTTGCGCATTGTAGACCAGGTGACATTGCACTTGGTAAAGATCGTGCTGACATTTGTGAACCTAGAGTCTGTGGTACCGCAGCAAAACTGGGATTTAAAATGCCACAGTTTTCCGGAGTAATTCTTATACAAGTGCTTGTGAAACGACCATTTGTATAGAAAAGGACTTACCATCCTCGTGCACAATTCTCAACGCATTCATAATTCTTCGCTCCAGGAAATGCAAAGAATCCAAATCGGACGGCGGAACGGCCGGTGAACTGGGGACAGCTAAACGACCAGGCCCGTCTGAACAGTACTGAGATTCTGTGTTACCTGCAAATCTGGCAGCAGCCTCTGCTGTGCGCTCCGGGCCGAATGATTGTTCATCAGCCAACAAATCGGAAAGGTACTGCTCTAGTGCATGTTGTGTGTATTGCAGACCGGGCATGCTAGAAAGCATTGGCGAATGGCAATCTTGTGACGTCACTGAAACCAATCGGAAAACGCAAATAACTGAACATTTGAAAACTCTATAGTGTATTCCTAGTTTTAGTGCTTTGTGGTAGGAAGCTGCCACGAATCGGTCTGTGAGATCATTTAACACACTTACTAGACGATAAATGGACTCGGTCACAAAATACGCTAAGCGAATTTGAATGAGATATGCTCTAATGTGATTAGTAAAACGATCTAAAAGCAACATTATTAGCATTACTCGAATTTCTCTACCATCGGCGGAAAGAAGAAAATATCACGTAAAGTGCTTGATATGACTTCCGAAAAATTTACAACAGTTGTGAAACGTCAATATAGAGTCTCTCTTACAATGAATCTCTTTTGCCAAATAAAACTTTCGAGAAGGCAATGTGTAACATGCGTACAAGCAACAAATTTACTTTCGATCACCACCAGTGTTGGTTTCCGTGATACTCCCTATTGATTACCTTGAAGATGGACAAACATAAGTGAGCATCAGACCGGAATATCATCAAGTGGGGATTTTATCGGTCAAAGTTCCACGTTCCGTCAAGTATTCGAATTGTCATACACCGCTGATCAACGAATAGTTTTCTTTTACCTAAAAGGGCCGTTGAAATCGGTAACCCCGCTGTCCTATTCAGTTCTCTTTGCTCCAGGAGCAGGTCGATTTATCGTATGAATGTATTTCTGGTCAAGTACAAACCAACAATTATTCCCCATTTTACTGACAGTAAATGTCATTTATAACTACTGCTAATCGGTTAAATGTCTGTATGTCCAAGTCCCGGGGCTTAGGTTACCGGTTTCCATAAGGAAGCAGCAGGTCTTCGTGACTATGGGGTTCGCCTCGTCTGCTGTTCATCATACAAATATGTGTAATAAAAAATGCGTCCAACGGAAGGATACCCTTTACCCTACCAAAATAGCTGCAGAGGTATAAAGGAAGGTGCAAACAAGGCACATAGTGTTTCAGATGTCAGGCGTTTTTCGAAGTTAATCAAAGGCGAAATAAATAGATTAGCCGCAGTACTTTCCGATCAAATTCTGAGAACTGGAAACCGTAAACATCTGTAAAAAGGCACCCATTTCTTCTGTGGAAAGAGGAAAATATTGTCAGATATGGGTGTCGACGTTGACGCTCTGATTGCCGCTTTCCTACGCCAGCTGTCGGTTATTTTTCCTGTCAATTCATCACACAATATTTGTTGTGTGCAACCGTTCTCAAATTCTGATGTGGCAAAACTTTTAGATAGTTGCAATTTCTACTCTGACGCAAGCCCTGACGGCTAACCTCGAGCACTCCTCGAATTTCGGGCAACCATCTCAACTGCAAACAAGTTACTTTGTATTTTCACCATTCCCGGAACGATGGAAGCCGGCCGGTCATATCAATCCCTAAAGCATTTTAGCTCTTCTACCCTTTATATGCGTTTTTGTTCCATAGCCTTCATACATTCTGCGGTTAACTTGACTGATAAATCTGTCCTTAAACGGCTACCACGACCTATAAACATTCCTAATGATCTGTTACAGTTTGCCTACAAGTCTAACAGATTCACATTGGAAAAAGTCTCGACCGTTATTCATTTCGTCACCACGCCTTTGAATGACTATTAAATCTTTTGCGTGCTTTCCTTGACTATTCTTCACTATTCGATTCTATCCCTCAGTCAATCGTGTTACAAAAAATTAAATCATTAAAATACCCGAAGCAATTGTGAAGTTGATTATCAAACTATCTCACTGAGAGTAGAGTACTTGAAAAGACTTCATTTAAACTCCGGAGTTCTAGGAGGATCTGTGCTGTATTCATAATTATTTCCTCGAGTTTCTTCTGCACGTGTTTTGAAATAAACATGACATTGTGGCGTGGAAATCCATTCCTTCTTCCTCCTATCTAATTTCATTCGCCGACGATCTCCTCCGAAATTGTCTCTTCTCCACCCTCCTCCCATCGAAGCTTAGTCTAAATCTCAGCAAAAGTGTTAGATGTTTACGTAGGTTTCACATTCTTCTTTCCGTACAGACCTCACTGTGATAAATAATAATTCTTTATCTAGCGTAAACTCTGCCAAATATGCTGATGTACCTAAAGATAGCAACCTGCGTTGGTCAACCCATAATCACGACTGCGTTGGTTAACTACGGCGTCTATCATTTCAAACTGGAATGCTCAAACATTTTCAAGCTTCCCTGTCAGTCATTTGTCGCTTTTTAAACCAATTAATTAGTTTATTATTCTCTGCTTATTAAACTTTTGCACATTATTAGTCGAGTTTCTTCAATTTCTGTAATCGAGCTAGATGAGAAACTTTGAAATTATCAAACATATTTTTGTGTCAACTTTGCGCAAAGGATTTCCGTAGACCCCAACCGTCCATTGCACAATGAATCAACGCATCGTTTCCATCCCTCCGCACACTCGAAATTCCCACAAATACCATCTTGTATGAACGTTTAGCCAAATTGGCCCATGTCGTATTTTGAACGTGCACTCACAAAAAAGGAGGGTAACAAACGAAATACGCTTTTACCTTCGGTAATCTTTGTAACGTTCGTGAACAACCCCCCCCCCCCCCCACGAAATGTGCTTCGTGTGATGACGGTTGACATGTATTGTTCAATAACTGAAATTTATGCTTCAATGCCTGCAAATGTGACACAATACAATGCACAGTACGCAAACTAGAGGGGCATGTTAACAATCAATAACAGTGTACGTTATTTCAATACTATTATTATTAATGGATAATCAAAAGGATCTCCAAATGTTGGTATTAAACAGACAGCTGGAGAGAAAAAGCTTCTGTTAATTAGGCATGGAAATTTCGTAACATTTATTTGTTTCTGTTGGCTGGATGCAATTACTTGGATATGCGAATTTAACTTCCCTCCCCTCGCCCACCCTTTGTGCTCTGAGTTGATTTTTAAAATAATGCACCGCAAATAGATTCACAGTGACTGGCATTTACTGGAACCAATGATGCGAGGTACAAATTCCAGTTATAGTCTGAGGATTTCTTCCATTGTGATGGAGAAAAATGCATGATCATAGAAATAGGACTCCGTTGTTAGACTGATCTCGCCAATTTCACCTTAAAAATTGCGCGTCACAAGAAATTGAAGGGGACGCTATTTTGCCAAGTCCGTTATCTTCACAATAATGAACTAAGAGTTGACATTACCACTGGATCAAACGTATTGTGTCTATCTAATAACCTTCATCAGGGAAACCCGGATAAGATGTACATCGTAGGGTAGCAAACGAAGTCGACCAAGTAACATGGGCAGCATAAAAGCTTCAGATGACTGAGATTATTAATCTTCAATCAAGGCCACGAGTGAAAGTTGTCACCGTAACAAGCGTCTACCTGAAAGCAAGCAATATTCGGCAATTTAACGTGATCGTTTTCAATTACAGCCAAGCAATGTTCGCCAAATAAATTCAGAGCTCACCTGAAGCCGCATATCTAGGTTGTGCACACGGCGGACAACCGTGGTCCAGTTGTTCGAATTGACTTGTTCCATCACGAAGAGCTGCAGCCTCGGATACAGTTTCTGAGTAAACCGAACCCAGTTGAGGAACCATGGTTTCCATATTGGGTCTCAGATTCGAATGCAAATGAGATCGAGAGGAATCTTTGTAGAAAGGTAAATTGGCACCAAGTTCCGAAGGGAAGGAAATATCTGATGTACATGGGATGGAGTAACTTAGTGGGCCAGTATGAGGTACATGTGATCGGCGATCGGGGATAAAGTTTTGTATACTACCACCAGGCGAAACCAAACCCTGAGATTCCGAAGAGCTGAGCTGCAGATGCCGATCCCATGGAGGGCCAGAAAAAGAATTGGCATGAACTCCTCTTGGTTGCACGGCACTACGATCTGGCGTATCCACTGAATACTGCAAAAGATTCATTGGTCGCACCGCAACTGAAGGGCGAAAGAATGGCTCTCGGATATCTCTGGATAAACCAGAGGAATTACCACTCTTGGATGCGTCAGGAGAATACCGGTAAGTCGGTCGATCATGAGCATTATCCCTTTCCAGCCTACGAAGAGCGGTTTGAGTGTGAAACGACCTAGATGGGTAGGGTGTGGAAGGTCCTTGGAGTCGTGATATATTTTGGACTGTCTCCTCTTTTGGAGTTGAGACACATTGCCCAGAAAGGTTACTCTGAGGGGATGACGGGGTTGCTAGAATTATACCAGTGGGTTTGTGGGCCAACTTGGACACACTTCCAGCAGAGGACGACTTGACTATTTCTGATGCCTTCATTACTCTATCGAAAGCTCCTGGGGATTTCGAG